TCGGCCTCGTCGTTATTAGTTATAAGACTCGCCATGTCATTTTTCACTGTCGAAGTTCTCGCAATTCATTGTCTTCATTCGCAATGTAATAGTGCCAAAAGTCTAAATTAGTAGAGGCAACAAAAAAAGAAACGAATTTCCGCTCTACCCCTTCTCATAAAAGCTACGCAGCTAATAACATCGACAACATCATTGTCGATGTTAACCGACATCGCTAGGGCCCGTTAAACTACGCAAACGATAACTTAGCTAGTCCCCCCCCGCGTCGAATATCCCAAGCGCACCGATCAGGATATGTACGAAGGGCTAACGCTCGAAACGTCAGCTTTTGTAATCATTACGGTGGCCAATTTACCATTTCAACTTTGTTGATATATCCAAATTATTTCGTTACTCCCACCGACGCAGCCCCAAACAGTTTCTTTCGAAACTATCAGCCTTTAGAGGTTTTTTAGTTGATGATCATTTCCTTTATTCTCCTGACCTTAATGTTTGATTCAGGGGTGATATTGTAAGGAGAAATTAGACGCTAGCCACTCTTAGGGGTCCAAGGGTCAATAGGCTCTGTCCTATTCTTTCAAACCTTGGAATTCTCATATTTAATATGAATTGAATTCAAACGCAGTAGATTAATTCAGTTAGTATCTTCGAACAGAGACGTCTAGTGATTTCGCTCGAACGTGGATTATCAATATGTGACTCTGCGGTTCTGTTTGATTTGTTTGTCGATCGAACTTTCGCAAAGTAGCTACGCCTCGTGGCACGAGTGAACACATCTAGTTTTCCAAGTGTAAACGTACAATCTATGGTATATGTTGTAAATCTTTCGGGTTGCATATTGCACGTCAGTGCGAAATTCAAGAGGGGACTCCTAATTTATACAGCGACTTTTTTATTTGTCTTTCTTAAGATAGGATAGGAAGAAGAAGAGCTCGTGCAGCTATGCGGCACTGGCAGAGACACACTTGCCTCAAGTTCAAGCGAGTCAAAGAACCAGCCGACGACTTGGGATATATAAATTTCGTATTTGAGGGAGGGTAAGTGTTGAAATCTCTTGCTCTTTTACTCAATTTTTCAACTCAGCTGATTTCCCGATTGTGATTGAGGGTCTTAAACCGCATCAAAGCACTGACTACGGCCAATCAAAACTCAGGAAATTAAAACTTATTTCGCGTCTAATTGGTCGAGAGTTTTCTCGACCAAACACAGAGCGAAATAAAGCAAAACTTGTACAATCTTGGATAACTGTTGCAGCACCCCGTTAACTTTACCGTTGAATTTTCTTTCTTAACTTGAGTGAGGCATTTTCAGCACGTTTAGTGTTCAGTCTCACAATGGAACCCGGGCGCATAACAGTAGATCATAGAGTGTGAAGGGACAGGAAAAAAATCAGTTCATTCCTCATTCAGTGCGAGTGCTCATCATATCAGGCTACTTTTACACTGACATAAATTTTACAATTCATGATTAGGCTAAAGATTGCCCTTTGTCATTTTAGAGCTCTTTTTTCCTAATGGTTAATAAACAATAAAGGATTTTTCATCGAACTTGCTGTCGAAAGTTATTCAATATTGTGTCGGTTGTACTCTATTTGGCTTTGTAATTGGTTAAAGAAGTTCGTACATTTTCCTCTCAACCTTCCATTTAGCCAATCAGCTTAAGCCAGTTGATATTTAAAATCTTTTGGGGATGATTCAAGGGCAAACACGCCTAGAAAATACTGAAATACTGTTGTAATGCATCACTAAATGGAGGGCTGAGGAACTAACCAAAAATATTCACAACTTTATCATTTGCGTTTTCCTGTGGTTCACACGATTGAATTTTTTTGTCTCAACTGGCCGCGGTTCCTTTTAATATTTTCATTTGTCCTTACTCAGTGGCAGTTTTGATACGGCTGATTGTGATTTTACGACGCCCAGTCGAAATGCACTACATCTTATGGAATTATATTTAATCTGTAAACGTACAAATTTTATATGCAACGACACGTATTGTATATTTATGCCTGTTTTCTGCAACTGTTAACAAGCTGCGCTTCCCGAGTTGGTCGCGGTGGAGACAAGGTCCAGAAGCTGACAATTGGAAGCAAAGCTCTGCGGTGTAAAATAGGAAACATAATTCACGAGCTGGGCCATGCTGTTGGCTTCTTTCACGAGCACAGTCGACCGGACAGAAATAAATATGTTCGTGTCCTCAGAAAGAACATCCTTCCTGGTAAGGAACTTAAGTAACGTGGCTTAAGGGCCAATGATAAGAAAATTTTCATTTCTTACAACGTTTTTATGCTAATTGGTTTTAGTATTTTGATTGTTTCTTTCAGTATCTCGCGCACTCAGAGGATTCTCTTTAGTTCAATTGTTTCGTTACTGTCTCGCACACTCTGAGGATTCTCTTTTGTTCGAATATTGCGCCAGTATTTCGCACGCTCTGAGAATTTTCCTTAGTTTGATTGTTTCGCTAGTATATCTCGCGAACTAAAAGGATTCTCTTTATATCGATTTTTACGTTAGTGTCTCGCACACTTTGAGTAATGTCTTTAGTTCGCTTGTTCCGTTAGGGCCTTGTGCACTTTAAAAAATTATCTTCATTTAACTGTTTCGTTGCTGCCTCGCGCACTCTGAGGATTCTCTTTGGTTCGATTGATACGTTAGTATCTCGCGCACTCTAAAGACCTCTTTTGTTTGGTTGTTTCTTTTGTGTCTCGGGCACTGTGAGGATTCCCTTTTTTTTTAAATTTGGCTAGTATTTTGCACACTGTGAGGCAAATCAGGCATGTCAGATATCGGCAATTTTTTCAGACGATCAAAATCACCGCGATCGGCTGACAAAATCACCAGGTTCGTCACCGACTTCTGTTTCTTGTGCACTTTAAGGATTCTCTGGCTCGATTGTTACGTTAGTATCGCATGCGCTCTGAGGATTTGCTGTAGTTCAATTGTTGCGTTAGTGTCTCGCGCATTTTGAGGATTCTCTTTCTTTTCACTATTTCGTTAGTGTTTCGCGCACTCCGAGGATTTTACTTTAGTTTATTGCTGGTATTTCGCGAATTCAGAGGGTTTTCTCTGGTTTTTTTGTCTCGTTTGTGTCTCGCGCACTGTGAAGATTTACTTTTTTTTTTTTATTATTTCCTTACAATTTTTCACACTGTGAGCATTTTCCTTAGTTTCAACTTTTCCTTAGTATCTCGTGTAATCTGTTTTTTTTCGGTTTTAGTTCAATTGTTGCGCTAGTATATTGCACACTCTAAAGATTCTCTTTAGCTCGAATTTTCCGTAAGAGTCTCGCACTCGCTGAGGATTATCTTTGGTTCGATTGTTGCGTTACTGTCTTGCACGCTCTGAATATGCTCCTTAGTTCAATAGTTGTGTTAGTGTCTCGCGCACTTTAAGTATTATATTTGATACGATTGTTGCGTCAAGCCCCGTTCAAACGGTCATGATAGTTGGTAATAGTTTCAGCTGTGCCGCGCGTTTGAACACGAACTATCATGCACTATCATCGAGTGTCATAAACTATCATCAATTATTATGTAGTTTGGACATGTTTTGCCGTTTGAAAGAGCGGATAATAGTGAATGATAGTTTTCGGTCAACAGTTTTACCAAAAACGGGCTCAAACCGAAATAGCAAATGGTAGAATGACAAGATAGCCGTTAAGGTTTTTCGGAATTCGCGTAGTTTATTCTCATCATCTCTTGGTAAGCCTCAGTATCTTACAACTCACAAATCCATAACTAAGATTTCAAATGCCACCGAGATTGCTGACTCAGCTCCCGTCATATTTGTTTAACATTACGCGATCTCATTACGTTATGTAGTCAAGTATCATCAACTATAATGAACCGTCTTTTAACGCTAACGTGATGTTTCATGATAGGGAATAAAAGTTAAAACAACCATCGACTAACATCAACTATCATGACTGTTTGAACGGGGCGTTAGTGTCTCGTGTACTCTACATAGGATTATCTGTAGTTCATTTGTTGCATTAGTGTCCTGCGAACTCTGAGGATTCTCTTTAGTTCGATTGTTGCGTTAGTGTTCCAAGCACTCTTAGGACTCTCTTTTATTCGATGATTTTTCTAGTATCTCTGAGGATTCTCATTCGTTCGATTGTTGTGTTAGTGTCTCCTGCACTCTGAGGATTCTTTTATGTTCGGGTGTTACATTAGTATCACACGCACTCTGAGGGTTCTCTTTGGTTCAGTTGTTTCGCTGGTATCCTGCATACTCAGAGGTTTCTCTCTAGTTTGGTTGTTTCATTTGTGTCTTGCAAATTTTAAGTATTCTCTTTAATTCGATTGTTTCGTTTGTTCCTCGCGCTCTCAAAGGTTTTCTGTAGTGAGTTATGTCTTTAATTTGATAATTCCGTTGGTGTCTCACGCACTCTGAGGATTCTTTTTAGTTCATTGTTTCGCTGGTATCTCGGAAATTGAAAAGGGTCTCTCTAGTTCTGTTGTTTCGTTTGTGTCTCGCGACAGTGAGGATTCCCCTTTTTTTTCGATAATTTCCTAATTATTTTGCATACTGCGAGGATTTTTCTTAATTTGATCATTTCCTTAGTTTTATATCTCGTAAAATCTGGGTTTTCTTGTTGGGCCAGTGCGTCGGAATCTCTGAGGATTCTCTGAAGTTCCATTGTTGCACTAGTGTGTCGCGCAATCTGAGCATTCTCTTTTGTGGGATTGTTGTGTTGGTGTCTTGCGCATTCATATCTTTAACGTCTTTCGAGGATTCTCTTTAATTAGATTGTTGCGCTAGTATCTCGGGTTCTCTGAGGATTCTCTTTAGGTCTATTGTTGCGCTAATGCCGTGTCGCACACTCTACTGACTCTCTGGTTCGATGTTTACTTTAGTTTCTCGCGCACTCTAAGGATTTTCTATAGTTCGATTGTTGCACTACTTTGTTACGCACTTTGAGAATTCTCTTTTGTTCGTTTATTTTGTTAGTATCTCGCGCGTTTTGAGGATTCTCTTTAGTTCGATTGTTAACCTAGTGTGTCGCGCAGTCTGCGGATTCTCTTCAGTTACATAGTTGCGTTAGTATCTCACGCGCTTTGAGGATTCTCTTTACGTCAATTGTCAAGCTCGTGTGTCTCATACTTTGAATAATCTCTTTAGTTCGATTGTTGCGTTAGTGTCTTGCGCATTCTGAGTTATCTCTTAAGCTAAATTGTTTCGTTAGTTGCCCGCATCTTCTAAGGATCTTATTTAGTTCGATTGTTGCGCTGGTGTGTCGTGCACTCTGAGGATTCTCTTCTGTTTGATTGTTGCTTTAGTCTCACGCTTTCTCTGAGGATTCTCTTTAGTTCGATAGTTGTACTAGTGTATCGTGCACTCTGCGGATTCTCTTTAGTTCAATTTTTACGTTAGTATTTGGCGTATTCCGAATAATCTGTTAAGTTCCATTGCTCAGTTAGTATTTGCGAGATTGGAGGTTTTTTTTTAGTTTGATTATGGTGTTAGTGTCTCAAGGACTCTGACTGATTTGTTAAGTTCAATTTTTTCGTTAGTGTCTAGCGCACTCTAATTCTACATCTACATCTACATTTTATTAAAGTCTATCAAAGGGAAGGCCCATCACCAATAGTAGTAATCTGTATAGTTCGATCGATTGGTTGGTACGTTGCACACTCTGAAGATTTTCTTTAGTTGATATTTTCGTCAGTATCTCGTGCACTCAGATAAATGTTTATTTCGATTTTTGTGTCATCATATCGCGCACTCTAAGTAATCTCTTTAGTTTAATTGTTTCATTAATATCTTGCACCCTGTAAGGATTCTCTTTAGTCTGATTGTTTCATTAATATCTTGCGTACTCTGAGTAATCTCTTAAATTCGATTATTTCGTTAGAATCTCGCGCACTTCGAGTAATCTCTTTAGTTCGATTGCTTTATTATTATCTCGCGTACTCTGAGTAATCTCTTTAGTTCGATTGTTTTGTTCAGATCTCGCGCACTATGAGTAATCGCTTTAGTTCGATTGTTTTGTTATTATCTCGCGTGGTCTGAGTAATCTCTTTAGTTTGATATTGTTGTTAGAATCTCATGCACTATGAGTAATCTCTTTAGCTCGATTATTTTGTTATTATCTCGCGTACTCTGAAAAATCTCTTAAGTTCGGTTGTTCTGTTAGAATCTCGCACTTTCTGAGTTATCTCTTTAGTTCGATTGTTTTGTTACTACCTGACGCACTCTGAGTAATCTCCCCTCAGTTTGATTGTTTTGTTAGTATGTCGTACACTTTGAGTAATCTCTTAAGTTTAATTGTTTCGTTAGTATCTCGCGCAATACGAGTAATATCTTTAGTTCAATTCTTCTGCTAGTATCTCACGCACTCTGAATTATCTCTTTATTAGTGCGATTATTTCATTAGTATCTCGCGCACTCTGAGTAATCCCTTTAGTTCAATTGTTTTGTTGGTATCTGGTGCCCTCTTAGTTATCTCTTTAGCGCGGTTGTTTTGTTAGTACCTCGCGCACTTTGAGTAATATCTTAAAATCGATTCTTTCGTTAGTATCATGCGCACTCTGAGTAATCTCTCCGGTTCAGTTCGGTTCTTAAGTTCAATTGTTTTATCACTATCTCAGGCACTCTGAGTAATACCTTTAGTTCGATTGTTTTGTTAGTATCTAAGGCACTCTGATTAATCTCTTTGGTTTGATTGTTTGTTGGAATCTCGCGAACTCTAAGTGATCTTTTTAGTTCGATTGTTTGTTTAAATCTCGCGCTCAGTGAGTAATCTCTTTAGTTAGACTGTTTTGTTAGAGTCTCGTGCACTTTGAGTAATTTCTAGACTTGCTCACAAGTCGCGCTTTTGAGCGCGTAGCGTGATAGTGAGCCCGAAGCGCGAGCGAGCCGAGCCGAGCCGAGCGAGCGAGCGAAAGCACGACTTGTGAGTAAGTGCGGGTCCTACCACACCAGAACAGAAAACCAAGCGAACGACTTTGAGAGAGTCTAAGTAATTTCTTAAACTCGATTGTTTCGTTAGTATCTTGTACACTCTGAGTAATCTCTTTAGCTCGATTGTTTTGTTAGTATCTGGCGCACTCTGAGTTATCTCTTGAGTGCGATTGTCTCTTAATATCTCGCACACTCTTAGTAATCTCTCTAGTTCAATTGTTTCACCAGTATGTCGCACACTCTGAGTAATCTCTTTAGTTCGATTGTTACGTTATCATCTCGCGCACTCTGAGTATTCCCTTTAGTTGAATT